TACACGCGGAATTGCGCGAGAAAATTCGATCTAACGAATTTTTTTTTTTTGATGCATTATTTATGATCGCCAGTGTAAAAAAGTGAACAAAATCACGTGATTGGAGAGTTAAAGCTTCCGGCACCATATATGTAACATGTGTTTGATTTTTGTGTAATATTTTTTTTTGGTTGATCTACGTTCACCCTACCCTTAATTTTGAAACTATACGCGACTGATAAAAATTTTTTAAAACTTAAACGCAATAACTAATAATAATTGACAAAAGAATGCTATTGATAGTCCGGAGCATAGATTTCAAATGACTAAATTCGAGTCATTTTTTCTTAACGATCCATAGGTTACCGTTACTGAGTTATTTGAGTCATCTCAAGTCATTTGAAAACACTATCACCATATATAGCGATCGAATATTTAACCATATATATAACTTTATTTATAGTAACCAATAATTTAAATTGATAATATCTAATCTACTGCAATGTGGATCCCAAGCCATCCTCTCTTCTGGTAAGGTAAACGTTAAATTTATACAATTTCTTTTGATCAAAAATTTATTTAACTGGCTAATTTTATCCAATTTTAGGGAATAAATTTATCACAATGTCTTCCGCGACTTTTTTGGCCCAAGAACAAGCTGCATTTGATCACGAGGTTTCTGAAGTGAAGAGGTGGTGGAAGACAGAACGTTTTCGTCTTGTAAAACGTCCCTATACTGCTGAACACATTGTGTCAAAACGAGGTCTTCTTAAACAGCAGTATGGTTCTGACACTCAAGCCAAGAAGATTTGGGCTTTGTTGAAGCGTCATCAAAAGAACAAAACTGTTTCGCATACTTTTGGCTGTTTGGATCCCATACAAGTATCACTAATGGCAAGGTATCTTGAAACTGTATATGTCTCAGGCTGGCAATGCTCTGCTACCGCTTCAACCTCAAATGAACCCGGTCCTGATCTTGCTGATTATCCAATGGATACTGTTCCAAACAAGGTGGAACATTTGTTTTTTGCACAACAATTCCATGATAGAAAACAGCGTGAAGCCAGGTCCAGTATGTCTAAGGAGGAGCGTGCAAAAACCCCTTTCGTAGATTATTTACGTCCGATCATTGCTGATGCTGATACGGGTCATGGTGGTATTACTGCTATATTGAAACTTACAAAAATGTTTGTTGAACGTGGAGCTGCTGGAAGTAAGATTTCATTTTTTTTTTTTTTTTTAGTTGATAATTTTACTATTAAAGTACGCGCAAAAGTTTTGATGTATGATTGAACTCTCAATAAATGTATTGTGATACAAGTCAAGCAGACATTACCTCTTTTATATACTGTCTTAAGTATCGAAAATTTAACTTATTGCAATGTAAATCATTAGAGAGGGTGCCTTAGTTCCATTTAAGCAATGATCAATCTATGATCTACAATCATCAAATTATATATACTTGGAAGTAAATCATGCATTTATTGAAGTCGACTATATAATAATTTAATATTTCTAAAATTGAATTATTAAAATTATTAATGCTTTATTATGAAATTTCAGTTCACATTGAAGATCAAAGTCCACTTTATAAGAAGTGTGGTCACATGGCTGGAAAAGTTTTGGTCCCAATCTCTGAGCATATCAATCGCTTGATTGCAATTCGTGTTCAATTCGATATTATGGGGGTTGAAAATCTTATTGTCTCCCGTACTGACTCAGAAGCTGCCACTCTTATCACATCTAATATAGATGCTCGTGATCATCCATTCATTCTTGGTGTGACAAACCCTAATATTCGTCCTCTTGCAGAAGTCATACGAGAGGCTGAATTAAGGGGCATCTCAGGAGCTACACTTGCTAAAATACAAGAAGATTGGCTTGCTGATGCAAATCTCAAACTTTACAATGATGCTGTTATCGATGCGATTAAGAAATCTAGTCATTCTGATAAAAATAATCGTCTTCAAAAATGGGAATCACAGTCACAAGGTCTTTCTTATTATGATGCCGCCAAATTAGCCAAGTCGTTAGGTGTTGACGTGTTTTGGGATTGGAATTTACCAAGGACTACTGAAGGATTGTTTAGGTATCAAGGTGGCACCAAATGTGCTGTCCACCGCGCGATAGCATACGCTCCATATTGTGATATGTTATGGATGGTTAGTCTTTTTTAATATTCGACGTCTTTTTTCCTCATATTTTAGTAATATTAACTTATTATTCCTATGTTAGGAAACAAAATCTGCTATTGTTGAACAAGCGAGAGAGTTCTCCGAAGGTAATGATTAATAAAATTTCTAAATTAGTAAAAAAATTTTTTGCCTTTTTGTTAAATGATATTTTTATTTTTTTTAAGGTGTACTCAAGGTGCACCCTGAAATCTTGCTTTGTTACAATCTTTCACCAAGTTTTAATTGGGACGCAGGTATGCACATATATATATGTTTAGTTACCATTGGAGAATTTTGATAACACTTTTATTAAATCCTATTGTTTTTAAAGCTGGCTTGAATGATCAACAAATTCGCAGTTTCATTTGGGACTTGGGTAAATTAGGATTTTCATGGCAATTTATTACATTGGGTGGTCTTCATTCTAATGCTTTGGGTGTTGGTAATTATTATCATTATTATTTTCTTTTGTTATACCAATATCATTATTCATTTATTTTGTTTATTTTATAGATCTTTTTTCACGTGAATATGCTAAGATCGGCATGTTGGCTTATGTCAGGGATGTTCAAAGAAAGGAACGTGACCACGGAGTAGAAACATTGGCACATCAAAAATGGGCTGGTGCAAATTATGCTGACGCATTAAGTAAGTCAATTTGTTATTTTAATAATGAATATATGAGAATCCAAATTTTTACATACATTTTAATTTCCTAAGTTAAAACGGTACAATCTGGTGTCGCTTCTACTGCTGCTATGGGCAAGGGTGTGACTGAAGAGCAATTCAAATAGTAATGCTAAGGCCAGCAACTTTGCTTTAGAAGGCGCTTTTTTTAGTAATCTTATAGCTGATCTATCATATGACTCATTTGTGATCATATGATTTTTTGTGAGATAAAATGATCATTTGGCCCATAGTTCTTGTTTGGTGCGCTTTAATTGTGTAGAATTTTCTAATTTATGAAACAAAAATAAGTGCAATATTATAATATAGTACCTTACTATAAGTGTATGATGATGTTTATCTATGATTCCGAATAAAATTTTTACCTTTTTTTGTAAATTATTAATTTTTAATCTTTATAATATTAAAATGAATACAAATTTCAAGAGATTATATTTTTGAGAGCGCCGTTTATTACGTAATTTTAAAATGGAGGGGATGTTAGCTTTATTACGTTTATATATTGTATGTAAACATTATGACCGATTACCTAGGTGCAGGGATGGTGAAATGACCCAAATGCAAAAATTTCGATTTATTTCGATTTATTTCGATTTGACTAGAATTAAGCTTCAAGTCAGTGACTCTGGCTGGAATTAGGAATTCACGTGTTTATTTCGAATTCCGTGAATGTTAATGAAATAAATATTAATAACATACAGCAAATTATCAATAAATATAAAAAATCTATCGACATGGATCCGTTAGTGGAACATATAATTTGGAGTTTGTTGTCGCCATGGAATTGGAGTTGAAAGGGATGAATTTAAGGAATTCATTTATTATTATCTGCAGAAATAATGATTGAGCTTGTTACTTTGAAGGAATCGGTGTTGAAAAAATCATAAAATCTTTTTCGAATTTAGTTAATCTGGCCAACTTTCGGTAAAAGAAAAAAGAAATATTCATAATTTTTAAATTAATTTCTATATATGTATATTTTTTTAAATATTACGTATACAGTAAGTTCTTTAATGCATTACTAATAATGGTAATTGCTTTGTAACTATGTGCAATGATTAGGTTATGCAGTGTTGGCTTGACCAGACCAGTCTGACCATTGGACCAGACCAATTTGACCGGTCTGGTCAAAGTATCTGTACTGATCAAATTGGTCAAATAAAATATTTAAATATAAATTTATTATATAATATATATATTACATTTATATAATTGATTTGACCAATTTGACCAGTTCGACCAGACCAATTTGACCCGTAAATTTTTGGTCGACTACTAATTTGCCCAGCACTGACAGTATTATATATAAAACATTTTAAAACTTATAAGACAAGTAAACACTTTTCTAACAAATTTTAGTCTTGTCAAAATAAACAACGTTCCTGGTTTTAGCGCGACTGCGTCGCGCAGCTACCTTATATATTAATAGGAACTTCAATTTTGTTACCAGCACAAATAAAGTAGGTACTTTCTTATTTGACTTTTTAAGTTGGAACTCATATACGATAATCTCATTGACTGTCATTCCAAGAGTTAGAAATACATAATAATGACAATAGTGGACAAAAGAATTAGTATCCAAACTTACGATATGATTGCAATCCGTATAGCTTGACTAATGTAATATCAGAACTTGGGTTTAATTCCGCAAGATGGTTCATTATTGTTTTTAACATTTTAGCAATCTTCAATCGATCATTCATAAAGTGTGACCAAACATTTTTCATTGGCGGTCCACTAATTTCAATGACAGAAAACTCTTCATTCTCTTCTTGTAATTCAACAATAGATCGGCGTTCAAAATCTTGTTTTTGTGAATTCCTGTCTTTCGCATTTGCTTTGAGACAAGTTTCGCCATAAGACAAACGCCACTGTCTTTTATTTTTGACAAAAAATTCATCAAGAATGGGAGCTAGAACACTATTGATATATGTGCCTTCTGATAGTGGGTCAAGTAATAAATTGATGTCTTCCATTAGTCTTACCCTATAAATGTAATTAACGTCATTAGTTGCAACAACATTTCTTAATAAAAAAACACAAACTCACATATGTCTCACAAAATATAATGCGAATTTATTTTCAAATAAAGCGATATCTTCCTCCTTTACTTGTTTGAGTTTTTCCTTCGTTTTTTTAATATCACGATCAATTATACGATCCAACAACAATCTGATTTCATTTTCTATAGAATTTTCAGTTTCTCTCTCACTTATATCACTAAGCATCCCGTGCTACAATACTTTCATCTAATGTCTCTAAAAACCCAACTTTATTAGAATTAAAAAATATGATATCATAATATTCTGGTCTCGTTTTTGGCAGATTCCCCTTCAACTGGTATTCTTTGAGACGTTCTCTGATTTGAATTCCATTTACAATCCATTCTATGCTTATTCCACCAACAATTGTTAGGTCTGCATCATATTCATCGCCATCTTCCTCGGTTTCGAAACCATGTTTTTTCACTTGTTGATTTACCAAAAAAGGGTTTGGTAATGTTTTTTTGCTTATATGCTTTGGTGAAGTGCTATAACGTAAATCTTCACTCGCTTCTCCATCTTCTGATATAATGGTTCGTTTAGGTGTACATATATTAACTTTTTCATACACCTGGCCATAAAAGAAAATAATAAATTCATTATAATTAATCTTAAAAGTTAGAATAGGTCGTGCTCTTAACTATACTTACATTATTTGCTTGTGTCTTAGACCTTTCGCGAGATTTATAATCTGAGATTTGTTTTTCTTGCACAGAGGATGAAGTCTCTTTAAGGTAGCAAAGACCTGTTTTTTTCAAATTCATATTGCCCTTCTTTCTAGAATTAAAATCAAATTTAGCAGAAATATATTCTATAGATGATTTTTGTAAATACAACTTACCCATTGCAATTTGGATTTCTCATTAATTAACTCTGATTCGGCGCAAATATTTTGTAAATCCCAAAAAAGTTTTATTAACCTCGACTTTTTATCCACCTTAAATAAATAAATTATTATGAGAAATATAATGACTTCTTTGCTTTATATACAGATTCATTAAATAACTCCAGATTTTTAAACAACTACAGAAACAACTACGGACGAGCATTCCATCCTTTTCTTGTGAGCATTCCACCCACAAGTTGTCCATATGAGCTTTCCACCCAAAAACCACTACGGACAGAGCATTCCACCTTTCCTTTGCAAGCATACCACCCACAAAGTAGTCCGTGCAAGCATTCCACCTGCAAAGTAGTCCGTGTTTCCATAAAACAAAAAATGAAATATAATACAAATACCTCAAAATCACTTCTCAATTTTAAAACTTTTTGACCAACCTCAGATTCTTCAACGTAATTCTTGCTGATAGTATTCAATTCACTTTGGTAATGGTAATGCTCCGTATCTGGATCAGCCAAATCACCTTCTAGGTGCCGGAAGTCTAAAAACTTTCTGAGTGAAGGATCATCAATATCACTCCAAAAAGCCACATTCAGAGAACGATGTTAATCTAGTAAAACAATGGTATAAAAAAAGTATACAGATGACGATTCTCACTAGGGTATCTTAAAGCTTCAAGACAAACAGTGTGAAGATTCATTTAGACACGTAGCAATTGGGGCCGCGGAAAATTTTGTAAAATGGTATCTTTTTTTGTTAATTTTTTTATAGGTAGATGAGGATAAACAAAAAAAAAAGTTTATGGAAATTTAATCGGCAATATGATTTCGAAAAGTAGCGCTATCAGCAACTGTATTGCTCTATAATGCTTAAATTAAAAACACTTACATTTTCCAATTCAGCTAATTCAGCTTCCAAGATTGATCCCTGCGAACTTGCGAACGATTGCTCGTAATATCCTTTATTGATCGTCAACT